AAAATAGCTAATCAATTTATTAAATTCTTCCCAAACAAGCAACTATTTATTTCTAAAGTTCAAGCTGACTTCATATTTTATGTTGTGTGGACAATCACAAGTTTCCAACCATATAATATTTTATTATTCTTTTGTATTTAGGGTTTTTTCCTTAAAGTTGTATTTTTATAAGATCTAATGATTCTCTAACAGAATTTATGCTCTACTAGACCCTGGATATTCTCAGAACTTCTATAAAAATCATGCAGGTTTATTGGAAAGTCTACAAGAGTCCTCCCTCTACTTTTAAAACCTAAACTAGATGAGCTTAATCTGCTATATTTTGAATTTTTTTTTTTTTTTTTTATTTCTAGGAGAGAGAGAGAGAGAGATGGCGCGAGCAGGGGAGGGTCAGAGAGAGAGGGAGTCACAGACTGAAACAGGCTCCAGGCTCTGAGCTGGCAGTCAGCACAGAGCCTGACGTGGGGCTCGAACCCACGAACCGTGAGATCATGACCCAAGCGAAAGTCGGACGCTTAACCGACTAAGCCACCCAGGCGCCCCTGCTATATTTTGACATATACTTTATTTGAAGTTTGGTCACTACCCATTTCCTGTGTTGCATCTGGTGTACCCTTTCTATGGTTACTTTTATTTAATAATGATGATCCTTTACCACACTGCAAGAAAGAAGCCAAGCCTTGAATACTATCTGAGAATTCCTATAAACTATTTTATTTTACATGGATACAGACATATGCTTTCTTTAATGCTTTTATGATTCAAGAAGTTAGCATGACCACATTTTGGAACAGCCAGAATGGTAGAATGAAAGCTAAGAATGAGTGTCGTATTTAAAGCTCTAAATCAGTTTCTAAAACTTAGAAATTATGACTTTAGAAGGGTCAATAATTCCCTGTGGCCAAACTGCCCTTCAATGAGCAATTACAGATCCATACCTTAAAAACTTTCCCTGTTAATTATAAGTTCAATGTAACTTAAGTTCTGTATGGACACAGAGAAAAAACAAAGAGCCAATTGCAAACAAGGGAATAAAAGAATCAATTACAATGAATCCTATTAAGTCACCCTCACCCCCAAGCAGAACAGCTAAAAGAGATAAAATGCTCAGATAAAACGCTAGGCATCTTCCTAACATTAACCCATTAATTTTCACAACACTCATGAAGCAGATGTTAGGTACCTCTAGTTTTACAGATGAAAGACTCATAAATTGATTCTCTCAAGGTCACACACAAATTTAGATTATCAGATTACACTAAACTCCAAAGCTTTGTACTCCATTAATTTCAAACCAATGTTAGATCAAACTGAAAAATGGTACAATTATCTCATTTTATACGCTATTCCATATTTGTGCTGTCCAATAAGACAGCCAATAGCCTCATGTTGACTATTAAGCATCTGAAATGTAGCTAGCCCAAACTGAGATAAGCTTAAATTGTAAAATACAAACCAGATTTTGAAGACTCTGGATGAAAAGAATATAAAATACCTCAATATTTTTTTACATTGTTGATGTTATATTGGTATCTTGGATGTATTGGATTAAATAAAATTCATTGAGCACTGGTCTATACTTCTTCACAAAAACCTCCCAATGAAACAGATGCCATCATTAAAACCTAAACCAAAAAAGCTGTTGTAGCAAAACATAGAAATCAACTTGTAAGGGAAGATTATGGGCATAGTAATTGTTCTGAGGGACACAGACATATATGTAATTAATAAATAAACAAAACAAGCCATTCTAGTGTTCTCCAAAGATAATAAAAGATGTTTTTATCTCACTACAGGTGATGTGACTAAGTAAGTGAGGAGAAAGTATGATTTTCCATTAGAGTCATGTCATTTTCTTAGGTGGAAAACTGAAAATATCACTATTCCTTTTGTACACACATGGTTATTAAAGTTACCAAAGGACGCATGTAAAGCACTATAAATTTCTAAAAAATTTTTGGTTACTTTATACTTATTTAAATTTTTTATTTTAGAAAGAGAGCATGGGTAGGGGAGAGGGAAAGGGGGAGAGAGAGAAGGAGAGAGAGATTTTCAAGCAGGCTCCACACTCAGCGAGGAGCCCAATGTGGCATTTGATCCCACAAGCCTGGGATTGTAACTTGGGCCAAAATCAAGAGTTGGATGCTCAACCAACTGAGCCATCCAGGTGCTCCTATTTATAGCTATTTTTAAAAATCACTTACAATATTGTTTGAGTACAGTCAGCACAATCTCACTTTGACTAAGTAAGAGATTCACAGTAAAAGGAAACATCAATTTACAAAAAAAAAAAATCACTTTAAACAGTTTGGCAATCCCAGAAGAGGTTACACATAAAGTCACTCTATGACCCACTAATTCCACTCCTCAGTATATAACCAAAGAGAAATGAAAACATAGTTCCACATAAAATGTGTAAGAAACTGTTCATAGCAGCATTATGAAGAATAGCTAAGAAGTGGAAACAATGCAAATGGCCATCCACTGATGAATGGATAAACAAAATGTGGTATGTCCAGTTTGGAATATTATTTAGCATATTATTCAGCCACAAAAAGGAATGAAGCACTGTTACATTTTAGTTACATGTATGAACCTTGAAAACCTTGAAAGCATTATGCTACCTAAAAGCAGCAGTCACAAAAGATCACATAAGGTGTAACTCCATTTACAAGAAAACGTCCAGAATAGAAAAGTCTAGAGACACAGACTAACTGGGAAATAGAGACTGCTCATGAGTTAGGATTTCCTTTTGTAGTGATAAAAATGTTCTAAGATTGACTGTGCTAATGGTTGCACAATTATGTGAAAACATCAAAACCACTTTATATAGGTGAATGGACTCATATATGTATTACGTTTCAATGAAGTTGCTTAAAAAAAATGCTGCCAGAAATATTTCCTAGAAGGGAAAGGATTTTAACCTGTCAAGCATCTAATTGGTATTTTTTTGGATTTTGTAACTAGTGGTATTTATGCTTTTAAAGTTTGTATTTTTTTCATTCTAAATACTGATATTAGTAAAAAATTTTCTTCATGACATCATTACACAAGGTAAACTTAATAAAATCATAAACTGAACATTTAAAATGGTGATTATTATAGCATGTGAATTACCTCAATAAAGATGTTAGAACTTTTCATTTAAAAAAAAATCACGGGATAATGTCTCACATTAACCTTAAAACAGTCACAGAATTAAGAGCCACAGCCACAGCTCCTCAAACTATGAAAACCACTGAAAACAGCACCAACTACCTTAGAGACTGAATGGCTTCGTGAGAAGCCCAGAAAATAGTAACTATCTCAGTCAAGCAAATGCTCACAGTTCAAAAACAGGTGATGAGAATCTGAAGATCTCAGTATAAAAAAGTACAGAAGAACAACGTAAAAAATACTTGACCACTTTCTTTTTAAAAACTAAACTCCTGATTCAGACGCAGGATTGAAGTATTAAAAACAAGAAACAAACAAAAAACCGGGTTTTCCTAGACTCTTAAAAAGTCTTCCATCAAAAATCTGTGGTGTGTGTGTGTTGTGTGTATGGTTTCACCCACACACCTCATGTAGCCTAACCACCTCGGGCGCAGCTGTATGGAGGATAATGAAGGGTTTTTTTCCCGTCCTTTTAAAATAATAAAACGTTATGGTGCCATTCCATAACCCACCCCATCCCCCACTACCACCACCAGCAGGTGGAGGGAAAGGATACTGTAGACTAGAGGATGACAGCTTTGTATAACCCTGTGGACTTTATATATAAGAATGCAGCTGGTGGTCTCTCAGGAGGGGATAAAGAGATTTGTGAGCAAGCTGAAATAAGGGGTATTCTTTGCCTGGAAGAGGGCACACCGTGAGCCACATCTTGAATCAGCTATATCCAGAGTAAAACACAGGCCGCTGGAAGGCACTGTTAGCATCACCAGGATGGCCTCTCACGCCGGGGGTGTTTTTTTCAACGGAGAAGTTGACTCCTGTAGTTTGGATATTGGGGGGAGGCAGGGGTAAAGCGGGAGTCGGGAAGACCAGAAAAAATGCCTTTAAGTGGAGACGCCTCGGACCCCGCAGGGGAAGTTCCGAGCCCCACTCGGTCGCCACACACTTGTCCCCCCACCTCCCACCGCCCTCCTTTTCGCGGCGCTAGACGTCGGGGCCCGGAGGAGAGCCGGTATCTCCGCCGCTGCCGGGGCTGGGGCCGCAGCCCGGCCGAAGCGGCGCGGCACACGCACGCCTCCTCCGCACTCGCCGCGCCCGGCCTCCCCGCCGCGCGGCCCAGCCCCTCGCACCCGCGCCGGGCTGGCTCCCCCTGGCAGGCCTAGGCCGCGCCGGCCGTACCCCAGCACCTCGCTCCCCGGCGGAGGTGGACCAGGCCCGACACAAACTTCCCGGCGCGTTCGCAAAGGCGTCACGGACGGGCCGGCCCCCAGCGCCATTCCCCCGCGGCCCGGCGGCGGCACCCGCCCCTACTCCCCACACTCGGAGTCCCGGCGGAGATCGGCCCGAGGCCCAGAGCCCCCACCCCTCCGGCGCCTCCGAGTTTACCTCCAAGTCGCGGCCTTTGTTCTTGAAATTCTTGAGCCGTTGGTTGTCCAGTTTCTCGTTGTCCGCCATGGCCGGGCCGGTGACTCCTTCCCCCGCCCGGGCCCCGCGGGATCCGCCCCAACCACCACGCCGCACCGACACTCCCAGGAACCGGGCCGCTGCCTGAGCTGCAATGCCCGCCGGGCCGCCGCTTCCTTCCTCCTCTAACCTGCCTCCGCCGCGGCCTTCTCCTCCTCTCCCCGCCCGCCCCCCCCGCCCTAACCCCAGCGCGACAGCAGCTCCGGCAAAGACAACTGCGGGGCCGGGCGGCGGCAACGGCGGCGGAATGTGCTGCCGGCTGAGAGGGGGAGGCAGCCTCGATCTGAGGGCCCCGGAGTCGCGGCCACGCCCATCATCGCCAGCCCAGCTCGCCGATTGGCCAACCAGGCTCCGGTGCGCTCGACCAATCAAAAAGGACGATGGAGAGTGGGGGCGGAAGAGAAAACGGAAAGGGGAAGAGAGCGGCGCCGGGAGGAAGGGCCGGAGGACTGGATGGCTGGGAGGAGCGCGGCGGGGGCAGGGTGGGGAGGGACCACGTGCCTCCGGAGCAACCCGCAGGAAGCGAAAGAGAATTGGACGACTTGGGAGGCGGAGAAGGGGAGGCGGGGAAGGGGAGGCCGGGGTTAAAGTTGGTTTGCTCCTGTTGCCGGAGCTGCCCCAGATCTCTGTGTTCCAGGGTCGAAGCAGAGTTAAAGTACATTCTTCTTTGTCGGGTGCGCCCTTTCTTCCCGGGCATTCGTTTCGCGCTCTGTTGGCTTTACAGGAAGTGGGCGCTGCACCTCGGCTCAGTTCGGGTCGGGACACGCCTTTCCCTCTCTACCCCCCCCCCCCCCCCTCCCGCCCCAAGCCAAGCTCCGTTCCCAGACTGGGGGTTCCCGCTGTGTGAGGGCCGGGCTTCTGGGTTTGGACCCGCTAGGGTGACGCGCATTCGGCAGCGCAGCGGAAAGCGAGGACAGTGGGTGGAAAAGGGAAAGGACGTATTTGACAAATCTGATTCATCTCCAGATCAAGTCCTCGCAACAGGTAGGAACTTGGAAGCGCCGATGATGGGTGATGATGCCGCCTGTTAGATATTTCGTTTTAGAAAGTTAAAGAAGCTACTTGGTCACAAAGTACTAACTTCTGGAAGGCGTCAGTTGTGGCACCTGACCTAATTAGTGTTGTTACTGTTGAGAAATGAATTCCCAAAGAAATACATTTCTATCAGCAGTATTATATTAGAGGCAGAAATAACACAAACTACAAAGGAACGTATTCAAATACTTCAGAAGAAGGGAGAAGAAAACGGTTTAAAAATATATTTACCAACAAATAGCCCCACAAATGTGCAGGCAAACGAAGTAGGCAGCAGCAAGCTGAAACTCGGGTCGGAAGGAAAGGGGGCGGTGTAGGAGTATTGGGTGCGTTTAAATTTGGCGAGGTATGGGGATTTCTTTGGAGAACTTTTACTCCTCGCCCGCCTCCTTCCCTCCCACTTCTTTACTAAGAGATAGATATACATACACACATATATATGTAGAACAACGTACAGAGAGATAAAAACTTTAAAATGAGAATAATACCTTCAAAGTTCTCAGTACTTTGTAACTTTCAACCGCCTAGGCAAACAGAAGCTGTACCTAGTAATAGTTCATTCTGAAGGTTAACTCGAATGTAAGTTCATTGCCGATCTTAAAATATAAATGAAGTTCATTATAGATCCTTATTCACCAGAGAATAATTTAATTGAAGTAATACTGCACACTGGAGCACCGGTGTTTTCAAAATGAGTTTAGGGTAAGAAAATTAAGTTGAAAAGCTGGAGCGTGTGTGTGTGTGTGTGTGTGTGTGTGTGTGTGTGTGTGTGACCATTACAGATTTTTTTCATGAGCAGAATTCTAGAAAACCAATTGCTGGTTAATTCCCACGCTATGACTAGAAATTATCTTGTCAACATGCATGTATATATGAATATTTTGTACTTCTTAAATAAATTCCATGATAGCTTTCAAGATAAAGTTTATAAAATTGTCTGTCATTCTATGTCTTTATTTCTCCCAGCTACAACTGGTTGTCTCTGGTAGTTAAACAACTTGAAGTTCTTTGCAGAATACTCTTAAGAGAAGAGTGTGACCACAGTTACCCACTGTAAGAGAGGCAGTTCAAACAGGAAATAACCACAAAGTGATTTAGCTTCTTTTAGTATTATTATTTAATGCCTTTTGAAGGTCTTTGGAATGTCTCCGAAGCCAAGGATCATATGTGTTTTGTTCTTTATCATGTACTCCAGAGCTGGTAGTGCTTGGCACATAGTATGCCTCTAGTGACTTTGACAAATATAGGACCTGAATCTAAGCTTTGAATGTGTCTTCCATAAGTTATAAAACAAGCTAACACTTCTTGATCAGGAATGTAGATTGAGGGCCCGATTTGAGTTCAGTTCATGATCTCCTGGTTCATGAATTCTGCATCTGGCTCTACACTATCTGTATCTCTCTCTCTCCTTCTCTCTATGCTCCTTCCCCACTCACTCAAAATAAATAAAGAAACTTAAAATTTTAAAAAAAGAATGTGGATTGAGAGCCTGGATGGCTCAGTCAGTTAAACATCCCCCTCTTGATTTTGGTACAGGTCATGATCTCACAGTTCATGAGACTGAGGCCTGTTCAGGCTGAGAGTACCTAGCCTACTTGGGATTCTCTCTCTCTCCATCCCCGATTGGTGCTCGCACGCTCTCTTGCACGCTCTCTCTCTCTCTCAAATAAATGAAATATTAAAAAAAAAAAAAGAATGCAGATTGAGTTGTTATTGCTTTTAATTTCTACTGGTTCCCTCCTTAAAATTCTTTCTTTGGTATCATGCTTCTTCCAGGGATAAAGCTTAGGATAAAGATCAGACATAGGTTTTAGGGCAGACCCCCCAACATGTTTAAAAATAGTTGTGACACACTTTGCTAAGAGGAACAATTATCCTTAATTATAATGCTTATGTAGTCTGTTTGATGGCCTAAATTTTTCATTTGAAATTATCACTACCTGTTCTGTACTTCCAGTCCTTCCCAAACAGAATATACATAATTTATCAGAGGGGTAAAGAAGTTCTTCCAGGAGTTGGTAATAGCTCTTAAATGCAGATTGGCAACCTAATTGGCAAGATATGGTAGCTCTAACTGTAGTTAGGAGATTTCAGAAATTTAATTTGCTGAACTAAGGAAGTAAATGCAGCAATTAATATAATTTCAACAGACTATTTTACAAATGTTTTTGTGTATATGAAATACAGTCATAATCAAACTACAAAACTTATATGTAACACCTGTTTTAATGTTTGGTAACTTCATATCCTGACTTGTTACTGCTTTAGTATAAGAAAAGTCTAAAACATGGAGTGTGAATGTTTCATGAAATTCTCCTCTTAGTCACTTTCGGAATAAAGAAACTTTCTTTGTTCTTCAGCAGAGATTTGTGAAAGGCTCTGTGCAGCTTTACACAAGTTTTAGTTGATCAAATGGAATTTCAAAAAGAATTATAAGTGATAATTCTTTCATCTAAGAAGTGTGGAGTATTCTCATGATACATACATTAAAGTTAGCAGAGTGTTTATATATATGGATCTTATAGTTTCTGTTTGGGGAATTATATATAGGTACTGGGTAGTAGTTGCTAAAACAAGAAGCAATTATATATGATGCTACATTTTTTTCAATTGGATTTTTTTTTTTTTTTTTTTTTTAGATTTGAGAGACAGTGTGTGAGCTGGGGAGAGTTGGGGGGGTGGGGGAAGAGGGAGAGAATCTTAAGCAGGCTCCACACACAGTGCAGAGCCAGACACAGGGCTCTATCCCACCACCCTGGGATCATGATCTTAGCCAAAATCAAGAGTCACACCCTCAACTGACTGAACCACCCAGATGCCCCTGTTGCTAAATCTTAAATAAAATGTAATTTGTGTTTTTTATAGTTGGCCTTGATCTCTTTTTTTGAGGGAATAACATTGGACCTTTGGTAATATGCCCTTATTTTCTTAGGAAAACATAGTTCATCAGGAATTGGGAGACTTCATTCATTCCTCTTTATTGCCAAGACTTTTCTGACTTAAATTTGAGGAGCTTGGGAAAAAAATCACAAAAACAAAAAACAAACTACTTCTTTACTTTGACTGAAGTTCCTGAATTGTAAGAGATGATGAATTAAAAAGCTAGCTGTTGGTCTTAATTTGATTGAGAGAAATGAGCCACACAGTTTTTCTCTTAGTTTTTTTAAGTTTAGTTTTGACTTAATTAATTGAAGAAAACTTATAATTAATGTGTATAAGTTATTGATGACTGGTGGATACCTATTTGTATTGCTACTAGGCAAACATGCTTAGATTATCTAAAGCTTTTTTTTACTTGCTTTTTATTTGGGCCTAAAATATTGTTTTTAATAAAAAAAAAATAACTACTATAGTCATTTAAGAAGCCAGAGTCAGGAAAATTGATCATGTGATATAGAAGTGTTTCTCAAACAGAGAGTTCTCAGAACTCCCCAAACTTAGTAACTGTTCATTAAAAAGAAAAGTTTCCTTGGTCTAACAATTTTAGGAACTTAGAGGGTGGGTAGCAGTGGGAACTTTAAGACATTAGTGTTAAGCAGAACACTATTTGGAAACTTGAAATCAGTGAACCTAGAATGATCACTATCACTCCTCAATTTTTAAAAATGTGTGTTAATAGCATCAACTAAGTATAATAACTTACAAATTGGTAGTATGTCACAAGTTTACTTGAAGATTAGGTCTTTGAAATATGTCCATAGAACACAGTTATGATTAGTGGGTAGGTGTTGAAGTTAGTCCACAAAGGCTTTTTTTTTTTTGGTTTTAAGTTCATTTATTTATCTAGAGAGGCAGGGAGGGGAAGAAAGAGGAGGAGGAGGGGGGAGAATCCCAAGCAGGTTCTGCCCTGTCAGCACAGATCCTTATGTGGGGCTCCATCTCATGACTGAGATCATGACCTGAGCTGAAATCAAGAGTCCGACGCCCAACTGACTGGGCCACCCAGGTGCCCCCACACACACAAAAATAAAGGCTTATTTATTTAATCTATAAAGTACTTATGTGAACATCACAGAGCCTAATCACATGTGGCAATATTTGTATAAGGACAATATGAGTTACAATTTTGATCCAGAAAAGCACATCGTTTGTCTTTGCCTCTATGTACCAGGAACTGTGTTAGGTAATGAAGTTACAGGGATTCACGTGTTCCTTACAGTAGAATTCCATGCAGCAGACATTCTTCAAGTTCATACCTTACCTGATATTGTGGGAGCCTGGCCTAGCTCTCACCATTTAAATTTTTTTTTTTTTTATTTAATGTTTTATTTTTATTTCTAGGAGGGAGAGAGAGAGAGACAGCGTGAGCAGGGGAGGGTCAGAGAGAGAGGGAGTCACAGACTGAAATAGGCTCCAGGCTCTGAGCTGGCAGTCAGCACAGAGCCCGATGCGGGGCTCGAACCCACGAACCGCGAGATCATGACCTAAGCGAAAGTCGGACGCTTAACCGACTAAGCCACCCAGGCGCCCCATAGCTCTCACCATTTAGATTCCCATGGTTTCCAGTAGCCCACACTGGTAAAGAGGAAGGTGAGGATTCTGGGGAAGGTTAGGATTCTAGGGACAGATAAATAAGGAACTTAGGGTAGATGAGGTGCCCAAACCCTTGTCCCAATACTCCTTACTTCATGTAAACTTACCCCAATTTTTTTTCCACTTTTTATTTCTAAATAATTAAAGAGTCACAGGAGTTTAAAACAATGTACAAGGATGTCCTATATACCCTTCACTCAGCCTCTCTCCAATGGTAGCATCTTGTATAACTATTATACACTATCAAAACCAGGAGACTGATATTAATACAATACATAGAGCTTATTCAGAGGTGAGGGAAGACAATAGAATATAAAGAATGTATGAAAGAGTCAAGGGGTGCCCATATACTGGAACCTCATAATGCTATGCTTTATGAGAAAGAATTTTGTAATGACAGTAATAATTATACTGAATACTTAGAAAATTCAAGGTCTAGGTGTTTTATGTACATAAAATATTTTATTATTACCATTGTTTTTATTTGTATTTGTATTTCTATGAGGAAATGTGTTCTCACCAGACACCAAATTGGCCATTGCCTTGATCTTGGACTTTCCAGCCTGCAGAACTGTGAGAAATAAATTTCTGGGACCATCTGCCTGGCTCAGTTGGAAGAGTATGTGACTCTTGATCTCAAAGTTGTGAGTTCCAGCCCTGCTTTGGGTGTAGAGATTACTTAAATAGGAAGGAAAGGAGGGAGGGAGGGAAGGAGGAAGGAAAGAAGGAAGAGAAGAGAAGAGAGAGAAAGGAAAGAGAGAGAGAGAGAGAGAGAGAGAGAGAGAGAGAAAGAAAGAAAGAAAGAAAGAAAGAAAGAAAGAAAGAAAGAAAGAAAGAAAGAAAGAAAAAGAAAGAAATTTCTGTTTTTAATAAGTAGTGGTCTATGGTATTTTGTTATAGCAGCCTGAATAGACAAAACCACCATGCTGCCTCCCTGGCCTATTATACAAATCTCTCCTGGAGTTCTGTGGTATTGTGGATTACATTAAGAGATACATATTTGGACCCTCCCTGGTTCCTGGCAAATAACTCCCAAAACCTTTGTAATTTCCTAAGTAAAGGAAACTCTTGTTTCCTATAACAAGAATTATAGGGGCATCTCTCCTTTTCAGCTTCCAGAATGAAATGGATGTCTTTTGTTATTTGTAACAAATCCCTTTCAACCATATTTGAGTTCATATTAATGCAATGACTTTTGGAAAGTCCCTAAGGATAGTGGGGACTGGTTGCCAGGGGAACCCACTGTGTGATTAGAGGGTTGGAACTTTCAGTCCCACCCCACTCTGACCTCTGGGAAGGTGAGACTACAGGTTGACTTAATGGCCAATGGTTTAATCATACATGCATTCTTAATGAAGCCTGCATAAAAACCCAAAAAGGATGGATTTGGAAGCTTTCAGGTTGGTAGACATGTGGAGGTACTAAATGGGTGTCAAGCCCAGAGAGATCATGGAAGCTTTGTGCTCCTTTCCCCATAATTTGCCCTATGTATGCATCTCCTCCATCTGGCTCTTCCCAAGTTGTATCCTTTTGTAATAAACTGGTAGTCCGGTAGGTAGACTGTTTTCCTCAGTTCTATGAGCTGCTCTAGCAAATTAGCCAAATCCCAGGCGGGGGTTATATAAATCTCTGACTTATATAGCTGGTTGGTCAAATGTACAGGTGACAACTTGAACTTGTGATTGGTGTCTGAAGTTGGGGGAGGCAGTGCTTAGTCTTGTGGAGCTGAGCTTTTAACTTATGGGATCTAAACTATTTCCAGGTAGTGTAAGAATAGAGTTAAATTGTAGGACATCAGCTGGTATCACACAATTTTTTGGTGTAGGAAAAAACTACCAGACATTGGTAATCAGAAATGAGAACAGGACTGTGAATAGACAGAAGACAGAAGAGTATTTTTTTCCTAGACAGACTCTGAAGACATCTCGTTCTGAAATGCCTAAGGCCATGGTTCTCAAACTATAGAGTGCTTTAGAACCAGCAAGAAGACTGAAAACACAGATTGATGGATTCTATCCCCAGTTTCTAATTCAGCAGTTCGAGGACAGCATGTGAAGATTTGAATTTTTAACACCATGCTGATGGCACTCTTTCCTGGAACATAATTTGAGAACTACTAGGTCTGGACTTCTATCTCATATATGAGGTGGTTTCAGTCTAAGGTAAGGACAGAATTAAAGTAAGGGGATAAATAGCCTTCACAATAATGGATGTGATGTGTTATACAGTATTTCAAAATATTGCACATGTGAAATAATGGTTAATAGCTCTTAATAAAAAAAGTACAAAATAATTAATACTTCAAGGACAACAATTTATAGGCTAGTAATAGCCAATTCCATGTCACTTTCTTTTAACGTTTTATATTTTTAGAGAGAGAGAGAGAGAGCGAGCGAGCAGGGGAGGGACAGAGAGAAGGGGAAACAGAAGATCTGAAGTGGACTCTGTGCTGATAGCAAGAAGCCCCATACATAGCTTGAACCTACCAACTGAGATCATGTCCCAAGCCGAAGTCAGATCCTCAACTGACTAAGCCAGCCAGGTACCCCCATTTCACTTTAAAATTGTATCTATCTATCTATCTATCTATCTATTATTTATTTATAGAGGATGTGAGGGATGGAGAGAGAGGGAGACAGAGAATCCCAAGTGAGATTAGTGTGGAGAGCTTGGAGCCTAACGTGGGGCTCAATCCCATAAACTGTGAGATCATGACCTGAGCTGAGATTGAGAGTTGGTACCCCCATTTCACTTTTTATCTTATTTTTTTATTATTAAAAAAAAAATGTTAGACTGCAAGTGTGGGAGGGGCAGAGAGCCGGCGACAGAGGATCTGAAGTGGGGTCCTTGCTGACAGCAGTGAGCCCAATGTAGGGCTTGAACTCATGAATCTTTTTTTTTTTAATACTTTTATTTATTTATTTCTAGGAGAGAGAGAGAGAGAGACAGCCTGAGCAGGGGAGGGTCAGAGAGAGAGGGAGATACAGACTCTGAAATAGGCTCCAGGCTCTGAGCTGGCAGTCAGCACAGAGCCCGACGTGGGGCTTGAACCCACGAACCGCGAGATCATGACCTAAGCGAAAGTCGGATGCTTAACTGACTAAGCCACCCAGGCACCTCTTGAACTCATGAATCTTGAGATCATGACTTGAGCTGAACAGACATTTAACTGAGCCACCCAGACGTCCCTCTATTTCACTTTTTAAATAGATTTATGCAATATTTTCCCAGGTCCCTTTGTGCCTTTAGTTTTTCTCTTGAGTTTTCTCAAATGCCATTTTCTTTTTTACAAATACTTATTTTTGAGAGGGAAGGTAGGGGCAGAGAAAAAGACAGGGAGAATCTCATGAACCGTGAGATCATGACCTGAGCCAAAATCAAGAGTCAGCTACTTACCCAACTGAGCCACCTGGGTGCCTCTCAAATGCCTTTGTTAAAATGGCATTCTTCAAAAAGACTGGCTCCATTGAACCTGTGACATCTAATTGGAGTTCCTTGTTGTCAGCTTAAATCTCATATCCTCTGCCGCTGCATTCCCTAGTTCCTTGAAGGCTCAAACCTGTCTCAGTTGAGTTAATTCCAAGAGGCAGAGTGTCTCTTAACTGTTCTTCCTCGCTCAATTCCAGCCCATTTGCCAGACATGTGGTTTACATGCCTTCTACTAGCCTCTGCCTCAGGGCCATGCCTACAGTCAGGAATGGGAGCTCTTGCCACATCTGGGTTGATCTCCTGGAACCATCTCTGATACCAACAAAGAAGTTCAGTATTCTCCATGTTTAGTCACCCTACTAAATTTGGATTTCTTGAAAACAACAAAAAAAAGAAAAACCTAATGGTGCTAATCTGTAAGTAGTTTCTGAAGCTGAAAATGTTAATGTTTTTTAAAATCATTAAAAAAATTTTTTTTAGCAAGAGAGAGAGTATGTGCATGTGAGAGCGGAGGAGAGCGGCAGAAGGAGAGAAAGAATCCCAGTCTCCACGTTCAGCACAGAGTCTGACACAGGGCTCAATCCCATGACCCTGTGATCATGACTTGAAATGAAGTCTTGAGTCAGACACTCAAGCCACCCAGACACCCTTGAAAATATTAAGTGTTTTTGATATTTTATCCTTTTCTCCTGGATTCCATGTTCAAACAGTGGCAACTTGTATTGAATAAATATATCTTTATGGTGTCTCCTCATTTGCCACCTCTCCATTCTCTGCTACCATCCTCTGTCTTGTTCAAGACTGATAAGTATTGTTTTGTGTACATGATGTCTCAGAGTTAGAGGAGAACACAAATACTATCTTGTCCAACCACCTATTTTGTGCTTGAATTCTCGCTTCAACAGTTTCATCATGTGCAACATATTCATCAATGGCGAAGTCAATATTTCTTGAATCATAGCCCATTCAGTTTTCATAGGATATCAATACAAAATTCTTCATGTCAAACACACGTGTATATAGTATCACTTAAAAGAAAAAGTCATTGTAATATTTAAGGTAGAAGTAGTTAGGTATCAATAGAGAATACAAAGGGCAAATGCATTAAATAGAACTATTTTTTGCATTTGTGAAAATGATAGATTTCTACCAACTATAATAGCTTATACCTGTATTATAAATCCTGTTTTGAATTTTGAAATAGTGGTAGGCAGCCTGATGAAAATTCTCATGAATATGATGACTTTTAGTAAATTCAATAAAGATAGAACTGATACTCTAAAACGGATGACTACGTTGGATAATCACATATAAGGAGGGCTCTAATGTATTTATTAGTCGTTTTTATCTATGAACATAGATTATCTGTGACGTATGGTACCATATGGTACCAGTACACATATAATTCTGGAAGGTGAATTAAAAAATAATACAAGATTGAAGACTTTTAAGTACAGAAATTAGTCTTGAAGTTCACAATAACTCATAGGATTATCAGCTTTCTATTTATAGTTCTGTCATTATCTTATACAAAACACTGAAGTCTTGGAGAACTCAAATAGCTTCAACAGATTCTCCAGATGCCTATGAAGTCAAAGGTCTGTGGCTCCTGGTGTGTTATTTAGACTTTGACCTCCGATTACCATATGATGGGCTGCAGAAAAATGTTTAACAACAAATCTTTTTATGTTTTTCTCATCCTTTCCCTATTTGGTTGAATCCTGGAAACCTTTGTCCTCTCGCCTATATGTACTTATCCCAACATCATTAGAGGCCCTATTAAAAGTTTTTCTCTCTCTTTTTTTTTAAATAAAAGTTTTTGTCTTTAATGAAAATCAGAGTCTGGTAAGTATTAAACCATCTTGTTTAGAGCCCATTAGATAGTAGAATGTCTTGTTCTCTTGCATTTTGGCTTTAACCCTAAGATCTGCCTAATCAAACCTTGACGTTTTACATGGCAGAACATAAGCTACCATGCTGATCCCAAATTAGACCTCTCAGGTTTTTAGTTCTACTTATAAATAGAAGCATCAGAGGAAGCATTTAACTTGTAGACATATCAAGTCAACTAATAACTAGTAATATTGTTTGGTTAATTCAAGGATATCGCAGAACCATTTAGAGCTGTAGAAAAATATCCATACATGGGTGGCCTAGGAGAGCTATTTAATTCCTAGAAATCAGAAATTCCCATTATATTTTTGTTCTTATTTTTTTCTTATACTTCTACTTGCCACATATAAAAAGGAAATTACCTATCATTTATCATTTATCTGTCCTGATATCATTATCATAGAACCTCATTAAAAGTAATTAAAACTTGCCACAAGAACCTCTTTTGAGAGAAGCACATCTCTGTCTCATTGAATCTCTGCTAGTCCTCTTGGAGGCACTCTTGTGGCTTGTGAGGTGATCCAAGGGGTACACCGCCACATTGTTAATCTCAGCACCCTTAATGTGCTAGCTCCTTTTAGGAATAACTTAAACACATTTTGGATTGCCCTTATCGCAGAGTGCTGCACAACGACAGGAGTGGGGTGGGACAGACATAGACAGCATGTATGTCTCCAACCACCGATCCATCTATTACCACTAGTGTAGTGTATGCCTTAGCAGATACCATATAGTGCAATGGATAGAACAGTGCAGCATATATTTAAGTGGAAAGCATAGCGTATAGCCAGGATCAGCTTCAAGGGCACACAGCTTACAGAGTCTCCCAAGAAGGGCACTTGGAAGGGCCCCATACCTGGTTGAATGCTCAGCTGTCTTATCTTGAAATTTTTTATTTTTTAACAAGAGGTTCCATATTTTCATTTTGCTCTGAGCCTTGGAAATTATGTAGTCTGCCATGGATAATGGCAGGTAGTCTTCTAAATACCTACCTACCCACAATTCATTTAGCATGTATTCCTTCAATCTGAAAAATAAGACCTGTAGAATATTTCTATTTCAAATGTAAATAAGTAATATAAATATACATAGGAAAATACTATACATACTAGTTTTGCCTTTTCATTTAATATGTTAGGGATATACTGAAGAATACTGTTTTCAGTACAGAGAACTGTACTGAATAATACTGTATGTATCAAACATAATTTATTTAACTTCCTACTTATGGACACATATGTCTCTTGTTCTTTGCTATGACAGAGTGAACATCCTTGAGTATACATCTTTGTTCACTTGCCCCACTATTCCCTAGGATAGATTTCTAAAAGAACTGCTAAGTCAAAGGGTAAGGGCTTTTATTCCTTTTGAGAGAGAGCGAGTGGGGGAGGGACAGAGAGAGAGGGAGACAGAGAATCCCAAGCAAGCTCTAGGCACTGAGCTGTCAGCACAGAGCCCCATGTGGGGCTTGAACTCACAAAACTGTGAGATCATGATCTGAGCCCCAGTCAGACACTTAACCATCTGAGTACCACCCCACCCCACCCCACCCCCACCACCTAGGGGTATGACCATTTAAAATGTGATACATACTACCTGATTATTCCTCAAAAGATTGCATTATTTTATATCAATCTAAATCCCACCAACAGATTACAAACACCATGATTGCCCCACATGTTAGCATAATAATTTAGCTTCACCTCTGCCAATCAGATCATGCTGATATTTCTAATGGCATTAACCTGAATGATTAGCTCACTAGGATTTCCTTGATTCTGCTAATATATGGAATGGGAGTTTATTGAATCAAACATCAGTGTACCTATCAAAGTGAGTACCTTTAGGAAGAGATTTTTGTAGGGGGTCTCCCTAGCCAAATATTTAAGGCATTCTAAACTCCCACCTTTTCTTTCGAAATAAAGGTTTTGTGTTCTGAGTGTAACATTCAAGGATGTTGTAAGTGCTCAAATAAACCCTCAGGACATTGACCTTGCTATCTTTCCACTCTTAACCTCCTAAACTTTTAAAATCCTTTTTTATTTTAAAATAATTTCAGACTTTCATTAAAGATGTAAGAGACTAGTACACAGAACTTTCATATACCCTTTCCCCAGATTCCCCAAATGTTCACATTTTACCATATTCGCTTTGACATTCTTGCTCTTTCTCTGAACTCTTTGAAAATAAGTTATACACATGATGCCTCTCTACCCCAAGTGTTTTGGGTTCATCCTCTTATAGAATCACGGTGTATTTATCTAATTCAGGAAAATTGATATAAAATTATTATTTTTACACATTTTAATAATTTCATCAATTTTCCCAATAAATTTCTTTATAGAAAAAGAAGAAAAAAATTTCCAGTTCAAGATTCAAACCAGGTCACACATTATATTTAGTTGTCATGAGTTCCCCCACACTTTTTTGGTTGGTCATATTTTCCTAGACATATTCTAAGCCAATATGTAAAAAAAATACTTCTTGGCAACCTGAATTTCAAAAACCTGGTTGGTTAGCTTTTTTTGGTATTTGTGTTTTTTAAAGCAGAGTTGCTTAAAAAGGAAAAAAATAAGATCCAACAGGTTAAAGAAGTGGCACCCTGACTATAAAGAATAGAAATTTGAAGGAGTAAATCAGAAGCTATAAAAAATGAAAATTTCAAAACCCTTTTAACAATGCTCAGGACTTTTAAGAAAATTATTCTCAGGGCCTTTCTAAAAACATTACACATTTGCTAATGGTACCAGGTATTAAGAAATCCTATTTGATTATAAACAAATAAAGTGACCTCTTAGTTCTTAGAGAGTCAAAGGTGGGGAGAAAATGAAGTAGATATAATGAGAAATGAGTAAATTCTGGAGCAGGGCAATTGTGTTCCTAGTAGGACAATCCTAAGTAGTTTTCTTTTCTCTTGATATTTTTTATTAAAACCAAAATAGTTGAGGTATGTTAACCAGGTAAACCAAAGCTTTAACTATATTATCACATGAGTCGATGCCCTGACGCACGAAGGATTTTCCATAGTTGCCATCAACTGACCTGAGAGCTTCTACAGCTTAAAGGTAAAGTTCATAAAGAAGGTGCAGATGGGTATTTTATTTATTAAACAAACATTCAAAAAGTCATGACAGCCTGTCCAACTCTGTTTTAACCACCTTGAATGAAAACTCATTAGGCTATTATTTTTTCCATTTTACAAGTGGGGAAGAGGAGGCATAGAGATGTAAGAGCAGTTTGTCTAAGGTCACGCAGCTAGTGGGTGGTTGGGAAACTGAGGATCTCAAACCTATAGGACCCAAGGTGGTCTAAGCCCAAGAACTCTCAAAACTGACTTGTTTGTTGTACCTGGAGGCTAAAGTCTCATGCTGAGGAAAAATGACTGCAAGCACAGTCAAAATTCAGCTGGATGGGGACAGTGAAGAAGCAACGAGAAGGTCCAGACTAATGTGCAAAAGGGAAACACTCAGGAAACCTCAAAAAGCAAACTGCCCTATTTTTATCAAAGTTACAAATGCTATCTGAACCAGTC